ACCATACGTAAAAAATGCACATTGGCGACCAACCATTGTCAAGCATTTGCAGGTGGGTGGAACGTTGGTGTGGTGATTTCAGCGCAATCATGGCTGTGTAAACTAATCCGCTGGGGGCTTGTTGCTGTCTTGTCAAGCCAGACAACGCACAACCTTAAATTACAGACCTTACTACAGGCAGTCATGCCTAACATATGGTCCAATCGACCATTTCTACCCGGATTACTGCCCCTTCTCACTATACGGCTTGACTATACCGCTCTTTCGTCTTCAGCTACGCCAGGGCAACAAACTAACATACCACACGTAGTGTAGAGAGATGTATCTGGCGTCCGATAACATGTATGAAGAAACTCTATCTCTCCAGCACCGAGTTGATCAGATTGGCATTGACACCGCCTACTTAAACGCCCCTGGCGCTTAAAAGGAAAGCCAGGATCAAGAGAGTGTTTTCACAAATGTGATTCTCGCGTAAGCTGTCGAGACTCCAAAAAAATGAGGGACGGCGCGCGTCTCCGATGCAATTCGGCGCAAACCCTCAACAAATGTTACGTTCACATAGCATCTAAAATCTGCTTAATGATACAAGGCCTCGATGTGAACTCCAACATTTTGAGCTATCATTTTTGCCTCATCACAAGTCCACAGTGATGGATGGATCAACCAGGCGCGCTGGTAGCCTTATTCAGAACTAGACAGTCAGACCCATGAACGCCACTGGACAGTTTAGGTAGAATTCAATTATTCGACTCCATGAGCTACGAAGAGGATCTGGAGCACCTGGAAAATCATCAGTGAGACAAGATCGCTGAAAATCTATCGGAGCTTCACCTACCAGACATGTTTGCTACCAACGAACAATCCTAAACGTCACAGGAGAGAAGTCTGGAACGTGCGACATTTCCGCGCTCGTGTACGGCTTCCGATGCAACACCTCCCGACTTCTTGTTTTTCCCCCAACCAAGGCGTGTGTAAACGTGGACTGATGGTAACAAACGACTGGTAAAAGCGGTAGGAGTGCATAATTAAATTAGCTTAATAATTACTCGTCCGATGACGAGGCGGTGGTGTGCTTCAGTAAAAAAATACTTAGATCAACTCCTGAAACAAGGTCTTGCCAATCGCCACGTCTTCATGCCGAACGCGCGCAACTGTGGATGTCAACATGGCTCGAAAAGTCGGTTTCCAAACCAATGTGAGCAAAACAAAACCATTGGGCTTTCTTGCACCGGATATGGAGCACTGATAACAATGAGGAATGGATGTGAAGACAAAAAAAATCAAAACAGTGACGCTGGATCGCAGTAGCACATCCGAGTTTATCCAACAGAACTAGGTAGATACCGTTTAGCATGAGCGCATTCAACAAACTTAACTGCTGTTTTTAACTCAAATTCTGCTCCTTGAAAATGAGACTATTCTTATAGGTTGGAAAAAAAATGGTCTTTGTGAGCAGCTGATTACTGGAGATGATATCTTTCGGAGCTCCGTCAGAGTTGCGAGTTATACGAGGAAGCTCCCAGTATCAGGTAATGTCCCAAAAATACACTCAAGCTGCCCCGGACCAATTGACACACACCTACATCCTGACATGTCCAACAATCGATTGCAACACTAGGTAACGGGAAGAAAAGCAGGTAAAACAATCATTCGCAATCGCAACAAGACAGAAAAGAAATTGGGGAACACACTTGCATCGGGTTTGTTCATATTTGGATTGGCTGATTTATTCGACTATGGGTGGATGCAACCCAAAAGACCATAGCAAGTCCCACAGAATACATTAAAAGCAAGAAAAATTGCTTGTTTCAGTTCCGTAGGCGCTTACTTTGAGTTCACTGGGGATTGAGAGGTTTGTTATGGACTTCCCGAGTATACTCAATCCGGGTTACGTCATGCTCAGTTGATCAAGAAAGGTGAACCACCGCAACTTCGTAATACCCTAACCAGTTCGTTACACATAATGGCTCTGTATTGCGTCCCACTGACTACTGATCTATGGCCATCTCAGTATAAACATATACGGTCTAAATCGTTCACTTCGACACCCTATCGGTGCCTAGTTGCCAAGCCACCCGAAGGAATCACTAGGGCTGAGACACTGCCAGGTTGCCCCAGCTGATTCAAGAGCAGCAGAGGTTACGTTCGTACCACAGATCTACCAATCAGTAAGCTCGCACGGACTAAACCCATGGACAGTCTACTTTCGCTAAAGGAGTAGTATTGCCTCGAACTTCTGAGTCCATCCACTCGAACCGAAAGTGGCAGCATTTAGACGGGCCTACCGTATCATAGTATTTACACCCTCCACCCAATCGCATAGAATAATCGATATTTGACCGCATGTAGCGGTACAGGACACCGTCTGTGGGTTTGGCGTATTCAATCGACACGATTGAGTGTGGGTTAGCTGAGCCAACTGTCTAACTTCGCTTTACAGGCATCCAGTCGCATCTGTTAGGCGGACAGTGGTCCTTTGTGCTATAAAACGTTACTAACTGGGGAAATGCCAAACACCAAGCTCGTATACGAATGAAGTGGATATTGAGATGAACAATGGTAGCTAGACCAAAGTTGTTGCAAACATGAGCACGAATCGGCTGAGCCGCATTTTGAACGACAACCTACTCCTAAATTGGCACAAAAGGTCCAACCAGTCATGACAGCCAGCAGTTTGTCTATTGTCTCCACTAACAAACGTGTGTGGTCTTCTACAGTAAGATACAAATGACATCACGGGCAGATGTCTAGCGTGCATACAGATATCAGTTTACCGGAATCCGAACATTGCAGTTCAGGACACGTTTAGCGCAGTAAACTGCTGGAGTTAACTGATACAACGGTTGTCAATATCTAAGGATCCTACAGATCCCGTAACCACACCCTAAAAAGTTACATTGCGTGTAAATCCAACAGGGTCTTCAGAGTAGCGAGCAAGCACAACATATGTAAAAAGTCGAAAACAACGTTGGAATTCTTATTCCAAAGAATTTGATCAACACTGCTGACGGTTCGCCTACAGATAAGCTAACAGGGAGACAAAAACAACAACCGGAGTCGATGATAAGAGCATCCCTTTTTTACAGTGACAATGAACATGCTGCTGAAATCTGTAAATTTCTACTGCTACCCACCAACGCAAAACCATTTGAATACGGCCAAACCTCATACGTTTGGTCACATACAATAGAATGAACATGTTCAACATACTGTTCGGTATACATTGACTTTAAGTTCTGGAACGAAATACGGTATACTTGGTTCGTGATCACTGTCTGTCCCTACTCGACGACGGTATGAACTACTGTTCAGTTTCGGACAGCATTATGGATGTAGGACTTAATTCAGGTACCTTACTGATGCTGATATAAGAAATATCGCCCGTACGATATGAAGCAGCTGAAGGATGCCAATTTCCAGTTCAGCGTTCCCAGTTGCGGTGATGATCTGTAGACGACTTCCATATTTTCAGTGTAGCAAAGACTCAGCCAAAACAATCATCACGGTAAAACTGTCAATCAGGAATGCTGAATATCAGTTGAAAACTGGACAGAAGTCAGAGGAAGCAATCCCGCAGATCGTAGGTGCTACGTTGGCCCCTGCTTTCGTGTCAGCTCTCCAGACCACCGAGTGGAACTGTGCCCTCAATAAAGCCAAGTCCCAAACCAACACCCATATACGAACGAGCAGAGTTCGGTCAGCCCGCCTGGCTTTCCTTGAATCCTCAGAGAAACCGAGCGTCGAGATTTTAGAGCTTACGGAAGATCCCTAAGGGACCCCAAGCAGACTAGTGGTGGATTACACTGGTACATTAACTCGCAAAGTTCCTGAGCCGAAGTATTTAGCCGTTTCAGTGATCTGGTAAGCAACCTTACAGATCCGTCCAATTTCGCTAACAAACCTAGACAAAAAGAATGAAGCGAAAATAAAACCCTTCTAAGTTTCGATATAGGATCTTACACAGCAGCAAACTTCTCATTCAAAGTCTCAATATCTTGCAGTCTGTTGAGAAAAAAAAGACAGATCTTGAGCTAGCCGCACTCAGTCGTCATCAACCGAAAGTATCGGGAATCGAGCCTTGCTTACGCTCGACTTCACATTCAAATAGACCAGATGGCTCAAGTGGTTACAGCACAAATTTACTGACCAGAAGGTCCGTGGTTCGAACCCGACCTCTGCCTCTCGACTTCCCCTGTCTAGGCTTGGGCGACATGACAGTATCCCAGCCCTCGTGCCTCGTTCGAGTGGCATGGCAGCTAGGCATCGAAAGAGTGCTACAGCTGAACGATTTCTTTAATTTTTTATTATTTTTATACAAACAAACAAATGGAGTAGTCATGAGCCTCCCAATAACACCAAACACGGCAAATATTTTTATCGGTTTACACGTCGGCCAGGCACTGGACGGCTTTAAGCTGATGATACTTCTGTGAACGTACAATGGGATTCTTCCGTGGACGTGCTATAATTCACGAACACTCATAGGGACGGGAAGCTTTACCTGAGGATTTGAAAGTACAGACTTTCCTCAGCTTTGGGAATTGTCTTGTTAGAAACAACGAGAAAGTTTCTGACGTACGTCTGAATCGACTTATTACGGACTTTGCGTGCCGGCTCTTGAGCACGAAACAAATTTTTGAGAACTCACTGATTAATAGAGTTAAAGTAATAACTTTTGATGAAACCTTAAAGTAACCGAGTTTAATAATATCAGAGATAAGCTGCAGCGTAACAGCTGCCCAGTATCCTTTGCTTTTCCACCAATAATTACGAATAATTAGTAAAGCGATAAATTCTGGCATTGCGTGAAACCATATTAGCGGGCAGATCAAATCAGGGCAAGTAGAACATTGGCTGAAATCGTGGTAAACTGTTGGTTTTCTGGCTTGGTAGGGCGACATTTCGGACTATGACGGAAATCGGTACTTATGTGGGTCTTTAGCAATAAACCGAACGGAATCGAGTTCATGATGGTCACGAGATTGACAACTTACCATTTACGCGTTGCAACCTTCATGCCGTAGAGAAGTCATCTATTCGAACGGATCATTGAATAATTGGTCAACTAAAATGCACAAGCAAACTCATTTACAAATCTGACAAGAGGAGCAATAATGGACAGAGAACGAGTCAGGGGGAGAGAAACAAATGTCAGTCACAAAAGTCGATGAATCCTGCGCGCGGATACACGGCAAGTCATGGTTGCCGACTAACCGCGATCAGCCCGTTTGGAGGACGAAGACTGACAATAATGTGTCAAGAATCCCCGTTCTCACCGAAGAAAACAGATCATGCACTGGCAGTTCAAAGGCGTTTAGGAGGGGGTGGTGTACTGGTGAAAACCAATGATAATGGCGCGAACGGCGAGTGAACAGAGAGAAAGAGGCTAGAGAAGTAAGCACAGAACCGAATATGACAGCAGGCGGAAGATGGGTAAATTCACGTCGGAAACGGTAACCCTCAGGTCTAAAGTTGAGGTTCCTCGGCGTGTGTAAACACCAAAATGCATCATGAGTAGAGAAAGAATTAAGTGGAGAAGAAATGGTAATAGGCCTAATGGAACAACTCTCGTGTGTACAAACTGGGCTGGCGTTTCGGATATAAACAGCGGACGGGTGAAATGGGCGCAAATGCCCTCATACTTATGGTGAGTAGGGTCAGGAGAGGGGTTCGGGAAAAAGAAAGCATACCGGCATCAGCTGTGTTCATGTTTGTATGAGTGCAGGCAAGATGATGAGTTCGACATGACCAAAGTTAAAATAAACCACATCCGAATGGCGTGTGTCTGTGTGGAAAAAGACTGATCACAAAAACATCAACCGGACACTACTAGTCCACTGGCATGCGCAATATAGGTATCATCCATTGGTCATATAACGATGGCAACAACAATTGTAAACGGTGTTAGTGCTGGTGAGAGAGGATGACAAGAAGTTAATAGTCCGGATATTTACAAAATTTGGTTCGAGCAACGGAAGCACAAATTCGCGACGAAACCTCGAACAGGAATCACGAGGATATGCGGGAGGCTAACCAGTGAAAAGATGGGAGAACAGGGAAGCTGAGCAGCAACAGGATGTCAGTTTGAGATCACTTATCACACGGAGACAACCTAGATCGAGTCGATCATATAAAACATGCTGTGGTGTGTATAGTGCATAGTTCTAGACGGTGTCACTGAATCCGCCTAGTGCTAATAGGATAAAGTTTGGCCAAACCGGCGAGTTGGTAAAATGGAGATAGGGGCATGTCTGGATACCGAAGAATAAAATTAACAACGTCAAAACCAGGGGGGATAACTTGATAACGACCTGAATGAGATGATACTCCGATCGTAAATCAAGATATATCTGACCGGGAGACGTTCCAAGTGCGAAGAACCATCACTATGAGGGAGCTCTTTAGGCCTAACTGGCACACAATTGGGTGGTTATGCTGTGGACTAGATGGGATAGGCTGGCTAGCGATATGTTGAGCTCGCACCATGGCACAACTGGAAAAAACGTGAGGCTAGAGCTGCTGAGGAAAGGAGCACGGGTAGGATTGCCCAGATATACGCCAAATTAAAGTGGAACGTGACAACATTCCAGATTTGTGATAATGGGTTCTCCAGATAGAAGGAAACAGCATGGGAAACGAGCGTCTCATCAAGTGCAGCTGACCGCCGAAGTAACAAGTCTGTTGGAGGGAGGCCAAATAGCGATGGGTGCACACAGCATCTGGAAATTTCATCCACAACCAATAGAAGAATGAATAGCTGAAAAGATGATGAAAGCGCTGGAGAGATGGCTACGCCTCTGCCACCGTCTTTGTTGGTTCAGCGAAAGGGGCTGATGTAAGGGAACTTGAGGCCTCCTGTGCGACGTCAGAATCGCACCGACCACGATCCTTGTCAGGAGAGAACCTTTGGGAATCAGGACCAGGGTTGCTAGGTGATTCCGCATTTGAGTGCGGTCCAGGAGTAGTGGAGAGGTAGGCTGAATTATCGTCATCGTCATGTCCATTGGGCTGTTGGATTTGGGACATCTGCGTAGATATTTCGGAATCAATTTGACTCAAGCCCTGATGACTGTCAGGGAAACTTTCCGCAGTATTCATGGACGGTGTAGAAGTATGCGACTCACCCAATGGCGGGGAGTCCTGGTTGATAGGTTTGGGAGGTTGTTGAATTTGCTCCTCTCTTTGAAGGCGTTCCTGGTGTCGTTTTCTGGCCGCCGCTAAACCCGCCCACACGGTGTCCGGACCAAGGGCTTCTGCCGCATAAGCCATGATTGCTGCTCGACTTGGGGACAGTCCACATGCCATTGCCATAGCAACCGCGTCCGGCATACGTGAGTGCGACGGAGCAGCACCAGCGCCACCACCATCAGGATATCCCAGCGGATAGCCAGACAGATTGCTTTGGAGGTGTTCGTAATAATGACGGTTATAAAGATCGTCGCCTGCAAGTACATCATCGTCACCTTCGTCTTCATAATCTTCATCTTTGGAATCATCGTCTTCGTCCTCATCGTAATCTTCGTCGGTGGGGACAGGACTTAAATCCGGTATATTAGGTACATAGCTTCCCATGTGTGTAGCCTGAAGGAATATGAGAAAACATATACTTAATTCGCAAGATTAGATGCACGTCAGTTGAACAAAACAAAATGCCAACAGACAGACAGCTGTGAAGAAACAGTAAAGTGCCTATACGCGCTGCATAAAGTCGATTAATGCATATACGTGTCACGTTTACAGTATAGGCTCGAAATTGTCACAATCAGATACCCCAACCATTATATATATATATATATATATATATATATTACAGGGCGGTCTGGTACTGCCATCCGCAGAAGTGATTTGAAGCACAACGTACTAGAAAACACGTGCGCTACCATTTCAAACGGTCGTACAATGTCGAGCAGAACCGCCGGATCTGCGCAAATCGCGGGCGCACATGCCTGACGGAATCAGACAAGCCGGTGTGAGATGACAGTACCAATAGCAATTTGAACTAATGTGTTTTTCGCCTGACCATACGTGTCTACCGAATGGGTATTTTCCAGAAAGCACTGTTACAGCAAGCTGGCTGTCGGAAGTGCGGTATTCCGTTGAAATTAGGAGAAACTGACGGATGAGGCTAGCATCTTGGTGTGAAAGCTGGTGCTCGTACTCAGTGTTACGCTATCATGTTTGGACCAAGTGATGGATCTCAGAAGAGCTATGCGTGTTTGCCCGCCGGCCGTATTCCCTCACGTTTACACCAGCACTAGTAGCTTGAACGTAGCGTCACATTCGGCTCCGCACAAACATTGAGTAGGTGGTTTGTGAATAAACTAATGTCAATGGTCAAGTTTTTTTTCGTGTACCAACCATATATATATATATATATATATATATATATATATGCATATAAACAACTATCCCCACAAAGGTCAACTTTCAGTTTCTCGCTTTTACCACCGAGATTTGGAAAAAAAACCTTTGAAGACTATTCCCACAAGGACAGTATGGTTATGAATTGAGCACTCTTATAAAAAACTGGGCGTGGGTTGTCCATCGCGGACTTCAGTTTCGACGACTTGAGCTCGAATCCTCAGACAGGCACCTTCAAGTTGGCTGCAGAGGAAGTGACCTAGTGAATGAATATAGGAGCACAGAAAAAACGGTTCACACTCACCTCGATGTCATTGGCAATTAATACATCGCCATCATCAGGGTGACCGGATTTCGCAACCCATGGCGGAAAATGAGGTCCTATCGAGTTGGCTGATTCCGGGACAGTTATAAGCCTGGGATTGTTGATAGACACATCGGGACCAAAGGCAGCTGTTCCAGGCATAAGTTCAGGTGCAATATAGCTAAAGGACCGATCGGAAGGGGGGACATCATGCATCCCAACGTAGGGAGGATGGTTGTTGCAGTACATCGACGCAGAAGCGGCTTCGATTGAACCAGGGACAACCATTAATCCTCCACTTCTCTGAGAGTAATAGGGGTTTGGATTTGAAAGAACATCACCAAGTAGACCATCGGAAAAAGGAACACCATAAGGCAAGCGACCGGCTACATGATCTGGTAAAGTCGAAGGAAATGGTTCGCCTGTGATCCACGGATGCTGTAGACAGTCCCATGCCGTTGCCCGTTCATTTGGATCATATGCAAGCATCGGTTCTAAGAAACTAGTGAACTGCATTGCTTCGTTTGGAGGCCAGTCGTATTTTTCCGTGAGCACATTGAACAGACTCCAAGGCTTTAATCTCCGAATGTGTCGCAAACAAGCTATGAGGTAAACGTCAAAAATATTTATGTAGGATTGCATCCGAAGAATTCATTCAATCCCCAAGTAAAAGCTAAATTCAGCGATTACGCCGAAAACCACACAATCTGTTAGTCAGTGTGCGTGTTCGCACCCTGTTTGAGTGATTGAAAGACAGAGATTGCACAGTAAAAACAGCTATGAGGGAGTACTGAAAAGTTTCCAGTATGATCTAGAGGGAAAGGACACGAAGCCACCGAATATTCACGTTATTCCACTTGAAAGAATTCGTTCTTCGAAAAACGAGTGTGGTCGCTAAAACATCGCATCCTTGACGCAATCAGCTTCGTATCAGTAAAGAAAATGGCGTCCTTGCAGACTGTTTTCAAGATTGCAGATGGAGCAAGGCCAAATAGGTGACGACCAGACCCCGAATTCGTCAGCATATCTACAATTTCTGAGGTCTGTGGGTGGGGTGGTTGTTCCGCTTTTCATTTCAGCGAACTTGGATCATAAGTTCTTTAGAGCATAGAGTATCTGAGTACTGCTTACCCTAACGTAACATTGTTTCACCAGCAGAAGCAACCGTGTTAGCGACATCCTACTGGAAATGTCGTAAAATTTAATTGGAAGTGTTCACTTCTTTCCTCATTATTCAAACACTTGGATACCCACGTGGCTGACAGTTTTTGCATACCAAGCCCGCTTATAGATTACGAACCTCATATGGCTCCTGGATATCGTAAATGGTTCCTCAATAAAGTTCACTAGTGTTCGACGACCTACCAGAATCACGTTATGGATCTCGTCAGCTAGTTCAGTTGAAACTGTTTGAGGTCTTCCCGACCGTGCTGCATTCTCTCGGTGAAAGCTAACAGTCGGGTTAAATTGACGTTTGTCACCGAATGTTTGAGTATTTAATCTACAGGAATAGAAATTTCACGACTGCTGCGTAAAGTGAAATTCCCACATATTTTTGGTATGATTAACCCGGTGGTTTTATACAAAGTGAAAACAGTATCACACTTCGATATCCGGTATTTGAAGTTATAAATGAAAACTACTTTCGGTCATGGTTGCGCGATAAGTCTCGAATTCCAATAACTAGGTCAGGCCGAGAACTTTTTCGCACTTCCTCGTATCAGGGACCCAAGGATGTATGTAATTTTGTGTCTTGTGGCATGGGAGCACACGAATGCAAGACCAGATCGCCGACAACTCCCTGAAATAACACATGGAGAACAGTGGGCGGAAACAAAAAAGACAACTTTTCCACTGAGATATACATCCTGTCTAGCCTGAACGAACCTGTGGCTTGTGTAGGTTGCAAGGAAATGAGGACAGCACATGGAGTGTAGGTGAATCTTGAGGACGAGAAAGGCAACACAGATGCAACAATAAAATCCGAGAATATACTCACCCCGTTTGTCAAAGTATTCCCGTGAATATTTGCCTGACAATGCGAGATTCCGAGGAATAGGGCCCAGTAACTCGATAATATGTGCCAAATGGTCTTCATCACGAGTGTAATCCTCTCCCGAATGTGGTTCGAACAGATAATCCCCGGTGGCCAATTCGAAAGCCTACGAAGAAAAGGGGTGGCAAGCGATCATCAGACACGTCCCATGAGCGCGTAGGCTTATCATAAATGAAAGTAAAAGACCTACTTCGTCAGTACACAGTCGAGTCTTGGTTAAGAGACGTTTGTAACACGACTACCTGGATTTGCCGCAATTCAGTGTTACGAACGTTATGGTGTGATATTGACCTACATACGAAACACCCACTTACCATACACGCTGTACTCCAAATGTCCGCTGGAGGTCCGTAGCCAGCGCCAATTAGCACTTCAAGTGCCCGATATTGGCGAGTTTGAATATCCTCAGTGAAATGCCGGTAAGTCCAACAGGCGTTTCCCAAATCAGCGATCTTCACATCGATTTTGCAAACCTATAAAGATTAAGTCAGAGATGAGATGACGACAAATTCGAGACTTCACGATGGTAAACCGGCATTGTGAAGGCGCACACTGTAAAAAAATACACTGATCATGAATTCATTAATTTAAGCATACACAAAAACAAACAAGCTGTAAGAATGACCTGTCCATGCTGCAAGATCTTACACATTGTATAAGGTCAGAAGATGGTTTGTACTGTCCGATCCATCCAAAACAACCGCTGAAAGAACATCACAGCGCAAATCAAATAAAGTATAAGTACTTTGAAATGGGGCAACCGACTGACCAGCCATTTCGTTGCGAGACGTTCCCCATCAACACTCAGTGATCACTCACCAATACACACAACTACACAAGGTTACAGAATGCCAGTGAAATAAACCATGTGAGAAAAGCGATAATGCTGATGAACTGGCAGGGGAGTTTGGAGTTGGGAAGGGACGCACAGCCAGTGCTATTAGAATGATCTTCCTCTATGAGGAATAAACATAAATGTACGCAATTTGTATGTGATTTTAAGTGCAAGTCTAGACATTACTTGTAGTATCCTTTTAAAGTCGCCAGGAAATAGTATTAATGGAATTTGACAGATTTCGAAATGATAACCAGGCATATCAGATTGAAGTTATGACGAGTCAAAATAATGGACCGTACTACACAAACTTAGGCACATTGGTAACCCTACAGAGGAGAACAAAGCTCACCTCTTTGCTGGGGTCTGGCTCAGTTACGACAGGTTCAAACAAAAGTGACCGCCGTTTATCCAGCGAATTCGCTCCAGATGCTCCATTCGGCCGTAGTACAAGGCTAGAGCGCTTCGGGTGGCTGCTATTCGTTGAACCACCCAACGGTTCTTTGTTTTCGTTCGAATCGCGAGGTGATGGAGGTGATGGAGCCGGTTGTGAGAGAGTATTCTTTTTTATCCCATTCTCGGTACGAGATATAGCGTTGGGGGCCTGCAAATCAGTGGTCATTGCAGCTGCTGTAGCGGCTAATAGACCTTCAGGCTGCACGATTATGGAACCACGATCTCCAGTGGCCGAAGAAGCCTTCTGTGGCTCGGTAACTGAGGCGAGGTTAGTGTGATCCACATTGTCTGCTGCACCAGAATGATCTGGTAACTGTTTAACACGTCGACGAAGCTGTACTCCCGTGGAATCCTCATCAGTTTCTATTGGCCTCTATCCGGGAGAAAAATGATGAACATTGCATCATTGTCAGCAATAAACCATGTACCAAAGGCACAGTGGGTTCACCTGCTAGTCTAGCTCACCGACGATCGAGAACACATGGAGGGAGCAGTCATACATAGGGTGTGATCACCTAATAAGTCCAGTCACAAAGTGACTCCCGTGAATAGTGCTAATGGACTCATCTAGGATACGCTGCTGCTGAGGCAGGAGAGAAGAGAGCATAACTGGAGATCATTCATGAACAATGCTCGCGCCTAAGTGGGTGTGCCACGCCTAATGGTATCTCACCACTCGTGTCCTATCCGGGGGCACTGATCGAAGAGGAAAGAAACTAGTAAGATGAACTAGAATACGGGTAAGAGGGTTTACAATCCACTTGTCAAACCACATGGCTACTATGTCATCACTTTCATCCGGCACACGACTGAGGGATACTCTATGAGGAAGAAGACCGACCGGAAAGTGGCTAAATTGTCATATCTATTGCGTCCAAGTTACCAGTGAAAATCTTAGACGTAATCGAAAGCTCAATTCTTGGGAGACCGGCGTACACATGTGTCCACCAGAGTAACTGTATGTCATTATACGTCCACAGGGACGAGTGTGGTAACTATGGCCACATCGCTCAAAGTGAGTGTTGGTCAATGGAATCCAAGCGCCGTCCGAATGCCTAACTCCAGGCAGTCAGTTAGAGTCGGATCTTAAGAATATTCTGTAAACCACGAACGTGTGAAGGGATTTAGTTTAGTTGACTACAGAACATCAACCACTGAAGTCGCACTCTTTTAACTAGGCCAGACAAAGTTGCACACGGACGTTGCTTGCGAAGGATTACGACTGCATGTGTAACGTGTCTGATATTACGCTAGGTAAGGCTTCCAGAATAGCTACGACGCGACGTCTATCGCTGATGCAGGTGTCACCACGTACACATACGGATTCCGAGTGGTTGTGACGAAGTGCGCACAGATCTGTGCATTATCTGCAAGCCCATATAAGATTAGGGTAATTTCAGTCACTACAGTTCCTTATTCACCGGTGGCGGATAGACAAGCACTATGAATAGCCAACAATTGAAGCAACAGACTGCATTACTCCTATTTGGACACTTGGTGGAAGTGACACGTTAGATGCGCTAATGTTCGGTTTGACTAGTGAATTGTGGATAACTACGTCCGGAGCGCAGCGGCTCTATCACCATGAATCACGTAATTAGACAGTATTTCTCAGTATGTTTAGCATTCTGTGTGCATTGTTCGGGAGTGTCATCGGGACCTACGACAGATACCTAGCCACTGAATGTGCCGGTCAGAATTTTCAAGTTCCGCTGTAAATTCATTGCTTGGCCCTCTTCACAGCATTCCTGTTCACCAAATATTTGAGTGAGGTTCTGTCGGGCAAACGAAGTACGCGGCTTTACATAACCCATTGAGCAACGACAACCTCACCCATCGGGGGATAATAGCTTCTCAGCATTAATTGTCCGCTGTTTCCACTAGATCCAATTCGGAATATCCCTTTTGAGAGAGGCTACAGCCTGCAATGCGACCAACTTTGCTGGTCAGTGCATTCACTCTGAGCTTCCGCGTTAAGGTATGTCAACGCACCGGCTGTCCCCAGTCAATAAACGATTGAACCAGAATGGCTTTGACACTCAGTACGTGGTCCGACTAACTTAGCCCTGATGTAAAAAGCTGCACTGCCGTTGACGAGCGGTTGTCCGCAAAAAAACATGCAACATGGTTGTGCACTGATTGACCAAACTTTTAGTTTATCTGGTACTTCTAGCAGCCACCGCTTCTGTCCGGGAACATGCTAGAAATATATGCACTGTACAGGGCTTAGAAACTTCTCGACGGAAGCAGATACCACGCGTGCACCAGACGTGGACAGAGTCACCCTTCCCCAGTCGACAAGCAACTTCATTCTTGTCATCCAAACAAGACCGATACAATCAACTTAGAGCACCTTCAACGGTAGACCGACTAAGCTTAGGCCATGCGGTGTTGCACAAGGTGCTCACCGGCTATTTTTTTAAATTGAAAAACCTGGTAAAAACGTTCAGCTGTATGTCTCCACCCGCGGGCGAGATAGTCCAAGTGGTTAGAGTGCGAATTTACTGACCGGAAGGTCCGTGGTTCAAACCCGACCTATGCCTCTTGGCTTCACCTGTCTAGGCTTGGGCACAAGCTGGCAGTATCCCAGTCCTCGTGCAATCTTCCGGTGGCATGGCAGTTGGACACCGAAAGGGTGCTACAGCTTAACTATTTTTTACTCCATCCATGAAGTCCATTGTGTTGATGTTCGATAGGCCAAAATGGCCAGTCCGGTTACAGTACATGTGGTCGGAACCCAATATCATTCCGAGTTCAGATTCCAATTATTTCCGTTACAGATGAAAACTAGTGTCTGCAATAGACGGGCTGCGTTGCCCTTACACCACTTGAATTGTTCCTCAGTGTCTAGTCCCCCAGATAATGCGGGACTGGTTGATTCCAGCTTTTGATACCTGACTTCCTTCAACAAAGCTGTAAATAAGAAATAAGGAGCAAACACTTACTAGTGTGTGCGACTCTCGGTCTTTCGTTATTCGCGATCGGTTTGTCACACCTTAGACTCTTCAGTAATTGGCACCGGATCACTGAAATATCAGCGATGAGCATCGCTTTCACGACGTCCAAGAGAGATAGATGTTGATCATCGTCACATTTGGTATCTCTTTCAATATACGAGAGTTCGGAGGGATGATCTCGAAATCGATGAGCGATTTTTTCGATGCTTTGCCAGTTCATCAGGAACGGCCGTGATGATAATCATGATCATGATCACGGGTTTATTAAATACAGGCTTCATGAGCTAACTAGTGTTGTCAAAAGCGACATTTTGATTGGCTCCAAGTCAATTAGCCGGATCTCGAGAAGACAGCGGTTGGACGCGCGCCCCGTGCCGGGATCGCTGTGTTGTACACCGTAGCATGAATGACAAGCTAAACATAAGCAGCTCACAATATCTTGTGGAGGTGTCACGTCCGATCTACAGGAGGCGTGTGGGGTTTGAAACTCCGAAGCTCCGTCTTGAGATACTAGACTTTTATTCAGACAACCAGTAAGGCATTTGTTTAATAAGTGGTGAAGAAAGTCCGGCACCGAAATGTATTTTTACCGCCTTTACTTTGAGAATACGGATTTCCTGAAAGCAGTGTTTGTCCTTGTCTGTAACTTCACGATCGCATAATACGGAACGAACAAAAAATAATGTTTAGCACCGGGGCTCACAACCACATTTGGTCCAGGAAAAGTTGTAGTCCGAAATGGACAAAGAGTAGAAAAGATCTGATGCTAGCCTATCATCTAAACCTTGAGATGTCGACATGATCGAACGACCAAAAAGATTACCTGTATAGAAATTCGAAAGTCCAGCGGTTAGGGCGCGAACTTACTGACCAGAAGATCCGTGGTTCAAACCTGAACCAGGCATCTAGACTGCTCCTGTCTATGTTGGACAACCTGGAAATAATTCAGCCCTAGTAATTCCTTCGAGTGGCACGGCAGTTAGGCACGAACAGTGTTACAGCCGAACGATCATTACCATTCATTTATTCTTATAGAAACTGGTGGCAAGAATGGCATTGAGATTTACCAAAATACATTACATGGAGAGGCGTTTTCAGCTAAGCACAAGAAGGGCCATGTGTAGTTCAGCCTAGGGAACGAATCACGTCGACAGTGTTGGCTTTCCGTAATCGCTCAGCTGTAGCACTCTTTCGGTGCCACCAGAGGGAGGCAGGAAGGATGGGATACAACCAGGTTGCCCAAACCTAGACGGGAGAAGTCGAGAGGCAGAGGTTGGGTTCGAACCAAGGTTCAGTAAATTCGCGCTTTAACCACTGAGTCATCCGACCTTCCGTAATATCGTGGACAAATGTATGATCGTCTGAACTAAGAAGAGGTAAGGATATCTTTGGACAGATCCAACACGTTCAGGTAATCGCAATTTGATGCTGGGTACACTGTTCAATAATACTCGCCGTTGTACGACCGGACACTCGTTTCCTGTTTGTGCCATTGCAGATTCGTTGTCACAAGCCTTTATGGCTTTGTTCTGAGATGCCGACTGTCAGATATCGGAAGAGGTCTCATCCGCTTCACGCACAGGCCTAACTTCACAACCATTCAAAAACAGTCTGTACATGAGTCTGAATGCGACTGTCATGTTAAACTTTGTTGCCACAGCTGGAATAAATCAGTAAACGCGATTCAGGCCTCGTGCAACGATTCCATTTGTCATGCCACATTCAGAACCGTTCCAAGGGGAAAACGATTGGTCTGTGTGGCATATGTCTATTGAGTTTCGATAAGCAAGTATCTTAACACCGAGACCCAATGGTATCCATCTCAAACATAAACCCTTGAGCGGGGGTGGATATCTCCGCCAGACACCAACCTTTGCGAAAAGGACTCATGTGAGCTACTATAGGTTGGGACATCTCCTGACTAAGTGCGTTAATTGTTAACCGAGAACTGGAAAGTACTCATCAACGCTAGTCAAACCGGTGTTGTGTGGGATGGTTCAGGAACTCAGTAACCAAGGTGGGCAAAGTAACGCCATACAGCAAGTTAAGTGCTTAAGCCAAACATATCACTCGCAAGATCGTATTACAAACCTGAGTAGTTAGGTCCGGTGTGCCACTGCATTCATCGTCCACTGAACCGTCATCGTTTTGTTTACTGCTCGGTATTGAGGCCTCGCCGGTAGAACCTGTAGTGTAAAAAATGTAACAACGAGATCAGGTCATGAACTAACCAAACCTAGAAAAAGGCACTGGAAAATAGCTAGGCAAGAAGGCATCCGTCGTCCCATATAAGAGGATCACTTGTGCAAGCCTTCACAGATACTATGACAGGTTCGAACAACGGACCATCTGTCGGTCCTTAACCACTGAGCTACCCAGATCGTGTCTAATGTCGTAAGACCGTACCCATTACGGACGGTCTTCTGTTCAAATACAGGTGGCCGTTGATCTGTTCGTCGAGCTTAGTAGATAGCTTGCAAATATTTCGGAATCACTCAACTGTGCACTGATGACGTCTCCTCGACTGGAGACAAACGCTTGCGAGCTAATTGTCAAGCTCAGCGAACTGAGCAACGGCCACCTGGTGAAGCACTGGTAAACACAACCGAACCAGCAATATTTTGATAGACTGACAATCAATTTTTGAAATTATCATCGTGTAACCCACTTTACGCGCAGCTGTGAAAATGGCTTGTGTTGTGTATGATACCCACCAGAATATATCGGATACTATTGTCCATCCCTCTAACCCAATCGCATATATAGTTTTTCTAATCCGAACGGAGAGCAGGTACTTTAAATACAATTGCGGATAACTAACGGGTAAAATGACTTTTCCAGAATAAGTTACATCCGTCATATACGAAAAAATGCATACTGACAGATAAAGCGGCTTTCAAAACAGCCCATTTCGCGATCCTATAAATTCCGTGCGAATCACACGACGAGTCCTGGTAACTAAAGACCAATAAACTAATGCTGTGTAGCTTGAAGGCCATCATTCTCTTAATTGGGTACTACTGAAGCAGACTCACGGAGACAAAGTGTAATGCAGTACTATACATGTGAGTATTATTGTTCGTGCGCGGTCCCTAACTGAAGGCCAGCAAAATAAGACACATGTATGGTTAGGTACAATAAACTTGTCGAGTTGTATATGGCTAAGGTCGGAACTGATCAGATTACTCGCATTACATGGCGCCGACGAATGATGATTTCGGTCAAAGCAGAAATATATTGTTCCAAATGGAGCATCCAGAGGGGTACTGAATCTAATACCAGCTGTGCTGGTCATCATAAGCTCCAGTAAACTAAGCATTGAGACACGTATTTAAACTCGAATTCGTAGGCTCTTTTTAAGCCTTGGCAGCTACTCAACAATTTCGACTGGAGGTGTCCATTATCCGCCTAGTCGTGATTGGAGGTTCACGCCCATGAAGATATATCCCACTGGCCTCGCTCGAACTGTATCTGAATAGATTTCATCCAAGTCCACACAAGGTCGATTCCGAATCCCAATGATGGCTGGGTAGAGAGGTGAATCCAAAGCAATGGAGCAAAAGAGGTAACACGCACGGACTGAGAGATAAATCAAGTGTGAAATTGCTTCTGTGCGCAATGTTCAACGGCCGCCAAAGAGTTAAATCGAGAGACCTCAACTAGGTTGGAGAATCCATGAGCATCCATGAAGAACGGGCAGTTGATACAAAATGGACAGCGCACTCACTGCGACGGCGGAAGGGCCATGGTAGATTCTGCCTTAGACATTCCGCCAAAGGACCAATCCCCGTGGATAATAAAGAGCGGCGTAGCAGAGATTGCGAGGATGACAACCGAGAGGGTTCAGATGCAGCCGAAGGCGAACCCATTGAAGTGGTGGCGGCGCGTTTTCTTCCCCGCCGGGATGTGCTAGCAACATGTGACGGTGGTGAACTATGAATTTTAGCGTGACTAGTAGAATCGACCGGGAAGGGACTTGATAGAGTAAACGGGAGTAGGGCCGCAGGAGATTGAAAGTCTCTTGGAAACTTAATCGAGTCGGTATTCTCTGTTCGAGGCTGCTTAGCTTCGGGGCGTATTGATTCACAATCCGCGTCGGGCTTCAAGTCTCTGAATGTGTTGCATGCTTTGAGTGGGATAGAAGCGGCGAGGCCTAGAGCTGAGACAACTGCACGCGCAGTGCCAACCACAACTGCTCCAACTGACAGGTTGAGCAAATGGAAACAAAACGGTGGAGCCTTTTACAAGTCATATTTGGAAAGGAAACACGTAATAAGCAAGAAGTGGAAAGTCAGTTACTGATTGTCTTCACTATCCGAAGGGTACAAGAAAACAGGACGACTGAAAACTATGATTGGAGTGAGACGCACGGTAAGCAGCCAACAGACTTGAACGCCTCACAGTACGAACATCCCTGGTTAACGGGGGTCGTGAACCTACCCACGATGCCATCAATGCCATCAACATTGAAAGCAACGCCAGTACAGGGCGCTGGTGTTCGACTGTCATATAATTGCGTCAATTTAAGTAAAACCCTTGTCCGATGCTAGTGGACATATGAAGGTAGAGTTTGTCGTATCACAACTGCTACGGGCGAACCTAGAAAATCTACCGAGGCATCGCCTGATAAGCCCGTCACCGAATTAAAGACGATAGTGGAACCACGGTCTTCAGTGAAGGACAACTACAGAAGCCCATAGAAAGGTCTGAAAGTGGACTATAACCAAGATCGTCCAAGATTAGGGATGCCATTCATTCAACGCAAGTGAGTTGATATAATTCTACAACTGTCAGCGCACTCAACTGGTGGGATATCGTTAGTTCGGGTGGGCTAAGCAGTTGTTGATCTGTTCGCCGAGCCCAGCCTACTTTCATCATTTGAGGAATCATCCGCACAAACTGTAAATCAATCGTCGAATTCGAATATCAACCAACCAGTTGTTTGGTCACAGACGATCAAGCCAGCAATATGATTTAGGCTATGGCGGTGACCGCATCGGATGAAATTTTAAAAAATGTCAGGCAATCCTCAACATCGGGGGATAGAAAATCGAAAAGCATACATCCTTGGCCGTAAAAAGGTAGCGTACCAAAATCACCGTGTTAGTAGTTGAAATATCACAAAAGCATTCACTCCAGCTGTCTGTCCTCTCCTGTTCCACATACCGTTCAACTTACGTTGTAACTCGTGAAGGACTCATGGGAACCAACGGATCGATATGAATATCGATTGAAAACGAAACTGCACCATGGGGATTATCGTTATTGTGAGTGCAGGTAAGCACGGTGCGTGTGCAGTGGTATTTTTATGCGCAAGGTTGGTGAGTGAAAACAATGGTCCTACTATCTCTCACAGTGATCGAGCTACGAAGATCGACTCACGCGAATAGGTTTAGTTCGATATGCACTCACAGAGCAAATGGAAAAGCAATCGAACAGGTGAATTTAGAGAGGATTCTATTCGACAATATGCAACGTACGAGAGTGTCAATCACACCACAACAGGACACCAGCACAGTTTACTTGCGTCATTACTACCAAAGTTGTTTGCCAACAAGGGAAAGGCATAGTTCCTAACACAACAAATGAGCGTGACCAAACAAATAGAGTAATCCTCAGAGATTCAAGAAAACAACTCAGAGGCCGGCTAGGTGCAGTCAAGGGTAGGAGTGATACGTTGGTATAAATAACAAAGTTTGCAATCAGAATGCGGGTATATAAATGATAAACGGATTAAGGTGAATGCAGAATAAGCTCAACAACCACTGTTTAGGGGGAAAAACTCACCTTTACTGATGGCTTTTACGGAACCAGGTGAGGCCATCCTTGACTTGTCATCAGTCTTAGTTTGTTCATCGGATTGCGAAGTGCTGTTCTGTTGTTCATTTGGGCTCTGTTCACCGTCGCTCCCATCGTTTCCATCAACACAATCATCTTGCTTGTCCCCTCCTGGAAGCAAACCCATATCGAGTAGTCGACGTTCGTGTTCTTGTGTTTCCAGTTCCTCCAATTCTTCAAGTTCCTGCTCAAGTAGTGCTTGTTGTTTGCGTTGCTGGCGGCGAAGACGGCGTTTTCGGCTCTTCGTCATTTTCCCTGTTTCAACCTCTGTCTCCTTGGGTGCGGTGCTCACTGGCAAATAAGCATGAGATCATAAGGTTGGACATACTGGAAACAGTCGTGTGGAGCGAATAAGAGGGCTTGGATAGTCAATCACCACAAACACACACCGGCCAGTTATCTGAATTTCCCCAAAACGAGAATTACTGGCTTACTTTGGTTGCTCACTTGGGCAACACGCAGTGTCATTCGCCAAGTAGTGCGGTAAGTAACTCCAGTTCGCATATGTAAGTTGAAGGACAGACGGATCACAAAATTGATAGAGGATAATACACCACTCACAAGATTGCTGAAAACTTTTCGGCCAAAGATGGCCATGGGCTGTTGAAGAGCTTTCAGAAACCTTATGAGTATTGTATTACATCTGTACATGTATCACGATATCTTATCATACCAACTGAAACATGAGGTGGCCTGGTGCAGCACATTCAGTTGCTTAAAAACATCATAAACGGGAAATTCAGCTGGGTTCCAGGTGAGTCTTTCGCCAAAACCGAATTGGTATGCAAATGAGTGTATTTTGATAAAGATTAGTTACACCAAAGCCTGGTAGCCAGTGTAACCGACAGAATTACTCCGAAACCGAAAATGTTATTTTTTACGGGACTCAGAGTGTCGAATTAAGGAAGCTATCGATTTTCATCATCATCGATGGAAAATGCTGGTGTTTAAGCAACATACAACAGCAAGGTAGGATGCCCTAGTAAAGAATAGGAATAAGGGGGAGAGTGGGGACTCAGTTCAAGCACATTCATATGGAAAACGATCGAGGACAATGTGTCTACACTTTGGAACAGCAACGCAGCTAAACATCATACTGAAGTGAGATGTAATTAGTGGGCCTAAACTGGCTACCTTTGAAAACCTCATTCAACGTCTTTCGCCAAACCGAATTGGTATGCAAATGAGTGTATTTTGATAAAGATTAGTTACACCAAAGCCTGGTAGCCAGTGTAACCGACAGAATTACTCCGAAACCGAAAATGTTATTTTTTACGGGACTCAGAGTGTCGAATTAAGGAAGCTATCGATTTTCATCATCATCGATGGAAAATGCTGGTGTTTAAGCAACATACAACAGCAAGGTAGGATGCCCTAGTAAAGAATAGGAATAAGGGGGAGAGTGGGGACTCAGTTCAAGCACATTCATATGGAAAACGATCGAGGACAATGTGTCTACACTTTGGAACAGCAACGCAGCTAAACATCATACTGAAGTGAGATGTAATTAGTGGGCCTAAACTGGCTACCTTTGAAAACCTCATTCAACATGAATTCAAGAGACGAAAGACAAACCTACCTAAGCTATGAATGGACGGGACGACCATCAATGGGCACGATTACGTGCCGCGTCCTGTAGGGTTTCTAAACATGCACGAAGGATTACAAGGACCCCAACGAAGACTGCGCGAAGATCCCATAGCATTTGAAACAAGATGAATTAATTTCATAGGTTCTGTAGTCATATTGCAAGGAAGCGGGGACTGCTGCTCAGTTATTGGCATTTGCCACCTGTCTACGGCAGTGAAGCTTCGGTATTGAACACTGATGTCACGCTGTCGATGATGATGATGCCACCTGTCTGAATAGAATTATTCCTCGCCTGTCAAGTCTCACTGCTGACCAATTACCTAACCAGCCTTTTCTAACGTCTCCCTCACAATTGTGAATCAATAACCACTTACCTGCTGAACCGGACAACTGAACACCACGCCTCTGGGCATCCAGTGCTTCTGCCGCCATTCGTCTGATTTGTGAGTCAGAGACACAGACAAGAATGTTTTCAGGCTTGATGTCTGTGTGGATAATCTGACACTTTGTGTGGAGATAATGTAACCCTTGGAGCGTCTGACAAGGGGAAAGAAGGCAACGGAAACTTAGGAACGATCAGGCAGCCGGGTCGTATGTAAAATTATGGAAGCCGAAATCAGTCCGCGACTTGCAACCGAACGTAATAGTACTCTTGAGAAAACATCCTCGAATGAGAAAGTCATAAAAGCGCCTTTTTACGCTGGAAGCCCGCAAGATAAACCCTCGAGATGGACACTGCACGTTGAATCACATCCAACGGAATGGTTTAAGAGGGATCCGAACCTTGAAAACAGTAATCACTGATACGAGACAAGGCCACACGAACACCGCGAAACACGCTTGAAATTGCTTTCCCACTACACAAGAGTGAGAGTACACAAGAACAAGTCATGTAGTAGTTCACCTTGAAGAATACACGCCCTGACTATTACGCAAAGTCATGGGGGGTTGGGAAGATTGGACTCCCGCATAGAGATGGGGCATCCGACACGACGGACCATGAAACTCGTACGAACTTATATGACCGTTTGTCATCCTCTTCATCATCATCTTTAACCGGAAATTGGTTCCCCTACCCCACGCAACTTTGGTCCAATGATGTTGATGTCAAAGACACTGACGCACCACCCACTCAAAACGTGCTTGCTCGTATCTCTACTGATCTATGGCTGTCACTGTGCAGTGGAATATTGGAACCCAGAGAAGGTGTACCTGTGTCAAAGCTAATGAAGGAATGGAGCGATTTATCGTGAGCGCTGGAGCGTTATCCTAATCCACTGATTGTTTACCAAACCTCTATGAAACAACATGGTCACTTCTTAACACGTATGAGTTACAGTCCGGAATCCATTAATCCTTACAACTGCACCTAGTAAGCGTGAGCTGTGTTCAAACCAGAGAGATCGGTCACAAATTAAAGCATGGGACAGAAAGGAGATTGGGGTTGTGTACTTTGTATTTCGTGTAGCAATGGTTCCCTAAAATTAACCACTCCCAGAAAAGGATCAACAGAGCATTCCAAGACAATCACGATTTGATGTCGAACCACAACCACCATTATCAATTGTATCCACCTGAGGATGTAAAATAACATAATAATCGTTCAGCTGTAACACCCTTTCGGTGCCTACCTGCCATGCCACACGAAGGAAGCACAAGGGCTGGAATACTGCCAGATTGCCCAAGCCTAGACAGAAACAGTTGAAATGCAGAGGTCGGGTTCGAACCACGGACTTTCTAATCAGTAAGTTCGCGCTCCACTGAGCCATCAGGACCCATCTGCGGATTCAAAATAACATCCCATCTACTGAAAAGACTGAATTTGCCCCGGGGGAGTATCGTGTGTTCAGTTTTCCCGGGTCCCACATAATTTATCACAATTAGTCAGGGGATTTCAGATGAACACAATTACCTGATCCGTAAGACGGATTAAAATGGAAGCGGTTAAGACAAAGAGCACGAGTGCGAAAATGTCTGAAGCCTAAAACTAGTACTCTTAAAGAACTAAAAGATGAAGGGTAAGTCCATCCACCAGTCAACGTAAACTAGAAGAAGGTAGATTGAACAAGGACGTTTGGAGGGAATATTCAGTTGATCTGGTTACAATATCCTAAACAAAATATTGTTTATTGATTCCACAATTGACCGAGTAGACGAGCACACACAGAAGTCGTGACTTTGTACGCATGAGTGGGGTAGCCAATCAAAGGATTAAATCATAAACTATCCATGGAAAGACCGGATTAGCCCGACCAGGCAAACTAGTGGAAATGATTATTGGAACCCAACTACAGATGTAAAACAAAAAGACAGGCGGTTCAGTTGTAAGCCGCGTAATGTACATGTACATGTACATGATAACACGAAACTGCCTGGGTTATCATAATGTCAGGTTGCCTCAGCCACGACCAAAACAGTCGGAAATTCACTCGGTACACTACAGTATGGAACTCGCAATCAGATGACCATGCTTTAATCCATGACCCAACGGTTGAAGCACCCCATTTAGCGTACCTATTCAATGTTTCTAATAATGGAGGGATACTGGGAGCGAGTGAACACACAATGGCATAAACTCACCTGTTTGATGATGGAACGTACGTTCTCCAAAGGAATTCCACGGTAGGAAGATCTTATTATTAATTTCAGTAGGTTGTGACCAAGTACCTCAAACACCATGCAGACATCTTGAAGTGAATGAAAACGTCAAGGAAAGTGCGGTGAACCGACAAAAATGAAATTGAGGTGTTGAACTGCAGTGACACTGAGGAAAACTCAGGAGGTATGCGTGAACAAAAACATATCCTCTTACAAACAAGCAGATAAAGCATTGCGCATTGCAAGGAGTTAGATAAAACTGGTCGTCTGGATGTCATAACACTGGAGAAACGATCAGGTTAAGTAGATCCAGCCCATCAAGGCACTTTGGTCTGGAATTGCCACATTACGTTCATAGCGCACGCGTGACACGACGGACCGAAGTCATCCAACAATCAAAAAATATTAAGAGCTGGCTTGCAAAACTTTCAGTTTAATCTTAGTGGATTTGCTGATGGTGGTCGCTTGTATTGCAACCTGAAAACGGTGACAAAAAATACCAAGCAGCTTGTCACACGGTCTAACAAACAAACAAAATTTGATACTGAAATTTATCACCAAGCGTAAAAGCTGTACGTGCAGAAGTCACCATCGCACTGGGCAGAATACGAGCAAAGTATAAAAGCAGACGAGCGGAGCGGCGTGCGAAGACCGGGCACGCACAAAAATGCCTCGAATTCGCAAGGAACATATGCAAAAGTACCAAAGGAGAATGAATGGAAAAATTCATGAAATGTGTAAAGGATACGTTGTCCGTTCACTCCAGACACGCGGAAATCATCCAGTAGTTGCACTGTCTTATCTCTGAAAGGATCTTCCGGAGCTGATTCACGAACCTAGATAGGGTAATAAGCCTCGTTAGTTCGGGAGCCCAACCTACGCATGTTAACAATTTAATCTCATCGATGGCTGTCTCTGTGTAGTGCAAGGCACTTTTCACCACCTTCATTGCCACAAACCTCTTGATACTGTGAATTTCCGTGTAAGCATGACAAAAGATCAACAACACTCACTTTAAATCCCAACAAAGCCATACGGTGGAGAAATGGCCCCAACCGAGTTTACGTACAACATGGTACCGACCGTTGTACACTTGGCCGATTTTTACCGGATGATAACCACCTGAAAAATTCAATGTAACACAAACAACTTGCCTTTGCAATAATCTCTTGGATCCTCTTGCTCGTCATCATCACTACCCAGAATCTCCTCGTCGGGCACACCTTCGTCCTGGACACAATCGCCATAGTCCACATCTGGTTCAGGGTTGTGCGCCTGAGATAATTGAGGACCGGTATTCGGTTGCATAGTTCCGTTGCTATATATGGTGTGGAAGTAGACACAGGAATTAACTTGACAAATAAAGCAAAAATGAAATTGTGCCGAGACTGCCGCACGATATAAATGAAAAAAAGAACGCCCTAAGGATAAACTTGGATGACTATGGATCTGCGAATGCGATTCATTTTGACGAATCCATTTACGGTAATGACAAATCAGCTGGAATTACCAATCATTTTGACGCTACAAACTTCCTACCCAACAAGATCCACGAGATCATACTTGCGCAAGGTTTTCTCATGTTCCAGCTTGTGGTACAGACACACTGGTTCTGGATATGATTTGCGTATCAAACAATGCTTTCAACCGCACAGTCCAAAATCAACAGGAAGACAAGATCGGGCCAAAATTCCCCCTAAAGTACCCAGTACTTTTTGGACCATATAACGCACCAGGAAGGTGAAAATTCTGTCGAATATTAGGGCAATGAAGGGGTCGATTATCCGGAATCCTCTAACAAACTTAGCCAATGCAACCAGTGAAGTTATCACTGAGACAATGAGATAACTCTAGCAACATGTAAGGCCTTCATTCACCCAGAATGCTGAGTGAATTTTTCATTCAGCATTTATGCGTCCGTGAGAGTTTATCTAGAGGGCTTTTTGGATAGACTTGAATTTAAGTGGGATTCATCTGACCATTAGAATCCTATGGTGCCTGATGGTCTGTCGAACGGAAAACAGACATCGGATTAAAAAACACGCATGACTCATCTCTGAAGACGATGGCGACATCCGAACAACTGAAACCAGGTGAAGATGATGAGAACTCTTCGACAAATACCTAGCGTTTCACCGTATTGCAGGCATAGTTCCTGAGTTTCCACCAGATTTATTGCTTACCTGAACACCAAGTTATAAGCAAGTGTGGGTACACAATCATTTTCAAAGCAACGCTGACGTAACTCCAACGGTATCTCTTTTTGGACCAAATATATCCCGTCCTTTGGTGTGGGCGTTGCATCCATAAAACGTCACTTACAATCCAAGAAGAGATACCCGAAGTTGTAGAGCGTTTTAATTTTAGTATTACTTCCGATCACAGTGTGACAGATAAGGCAAATACACGACTCTCTAGGGCTTGGGTCGTATTTGCTACGTTGGCACCTATGGCTGCAAAGCGGCACATCACGTGTGCATCAGGTTGTTTGCGAGAAGTGGCCTCTTCGAGAAGCAGAACCGAGATACTAGGTTTTCCACAACCGTTGTCGCAGAGGCATAGTTCGTGTTGGCTGGTACCGGCAAATACGTAACCAGGAGATCAGAAAATGGGTGTTCGGTTATGCGACGGAGACTTCGATTGAAGAATGTGCCCAGCACTTGAAGCCGCGTTCGTTAGTTCATGTATCACTCATACCGAAATATCGATTGTTGAACAATGGTGTTTTTCGTGCGTAATTCAGTGGCACAAGTGGAGAGGTGTTCAACCAGTGACCTGACAGGTCAAATGAGAGATTACGAAGTCTGGATGCTGGAGAGGCTCGCCTACCAGGATGGGGTCCGCGTGATCCACGTCGCCTTTTTGGAGACACTGGAAGATACGGTCAGTTATCGATGTCAGTGGGTCCTTGTTTAGTTTCTGTGGCGAGATGACCCAAGTGGTTAGAGCTAGGCACCGGAAGGGTGCTACAGCTGAACGCTTTCTTCTTTTTCCTTCTTAGTTTCTGTCAAGATTGCCTGGATGAGTGTCTGGAGGTATGGGTACCTCAGGATGATTGTGTTAGACTGGCACTAAGTATCTTCCCTTCCACTACTATTCTTTTCTTCACAATAAGCTTTCCAATTAAGTTAAGGTTGAACGGTGGCAAAGCATCAGTGTTGAACACCGATCTTATGCTGTAAAAGATGACGATGATGGCCAAGATGTAGCGAGTGCAGTAACTTGACCTGTCACCGTATAGTTGCGGCCTATTCACCTGTCAAGACATAAACTGGAAAACAGTCCCAAGCTCTTCACCCCGAAGTTTCGAAGGGTATAGAAAAATTGGAACCTTCGAGCAAGAACGCGCACCTCGAGGGTGTAAAACGCACGTCTAAAGAACGGTTCAGGTCAGGCACTCTACTTGGAGTAAATTGTGGGAAGAGACGATCGTATAATAAAAAACGGTACCTCCAGATGATCGAAGTCCGCTGATCTTATTCGGGTGCTATTTCGAATTCCTGGATTTCCGGTGTATGGAGCGTGCATCCCACAATTGTAACGACAAAATAGGATAAAAATGGTGATAAAGACCATGTTTGGCGAACCTCGCTGGTAGTTGGGGAACTTTTGGACAACCCGCCTACAGCCCTAACACGATCAAGGGTGTCAGAGTGAAACGCAGAAGTGCACTGACAAAATTCGAGGCTAGTCCTTCCTGTTCATGTAACGTTATTCAATCTAAAGAGCCAAAAGCCGCTTTGAATGCAAGGAAGACGACAATTGTTTGTCGGCGGTATAGGTGAAGCTGCTCGAGCATTTGATGCGGTGCAAAAATGTTATCAATATACCCCGAATTTGGCCTAAATGCTGCTCGGTTATCATGAATTTCGTTCCACGCGCCTAAGTAACAATACCAGGGGAGCCAGTAACCTTGTGGAGCTTATGTTCCTGTGGTTGATGCAGTCGCCCCGGATAAGGACGCGATAATCGGTTGGTCACAGTTCTTGGAACTCGTCTTTTCTCCCGAATAGACGCGAAAAATTAACGAGACTGTACAGAAGTTCAGTATTGTCTTGAGGGGGCACTCACTAGGCCCAATAGCTCGATGGCGTTTCAAGGCAGAAAGATGCGTTAATACTTCATAAACTGGAGAGCCCACGGCCCGATTTGAGCGGTTCGTGTCAACCATACCCTGTTCATCCGCAGCTCGATATCGTGCCAACAGTTGTACGGACATGCATGTTGATTGTCAGACTACGGATGAAACTGACCGAATACTTGGATCGAAAACACTTCCATTTTAGCGTAAGCTTCATTAGTTTGGCGGTCCATATGTGTCTTAAGTTTGATCTCATGAGGTCGGATCGAAAAGCTGCATTTATTGGAAAAGCCTATCAACGTGGTGTGTACCATCACACGTGCAACATCCGGAGGGGGCCCCTTAGGAACCCAAGTTTCGCAGGGTCCTTAAGACGAAATGTACTGATAACCGGTGATGTATGTGGACGCTTGACGAAAGCAAAAGCTAGGCCGCGCTTCGTTCAAAATGCCGGACCCACCTTCGGGCATAAAAACAGCCAGTATCGTGTGCACTATCCACTGTTGGTCGGGAATCGGATTGAATGCAGAGAGCCAACAAATTGGCATGGTCTCACATTTTATGAACCAAGGAGATCAACTGAAACATCCGTCAGTGCACGGACTTTTCTGTTGGTCTTAATTCAGGGTTCACCGCCTTTACCAGACTAGTTTGCAAAATTAAATGCTGTCAGAAGAAAACAGTTGGATGAGGTGTATAGTGAACTTCCTAGCCAGTTGTCAATATAACACCGGTCATATCTCAGCAGGCCATGGATAGGATGCTGAAGGATAATCCCTGCGTAGCCGCTTACTGGGACGATCTGAAGGTTACTGATTTCAGTCCTGATGATCCATGACAGCACCCCGATTAAGTCGCCGGTAGCAATCCGAAACATGGTTGTATACCACCTTCTCCATACGGTCGACACAGTATCTTTACAGCAAAACCGGCGAGTATGGGAGCTAACAACAGATAATAGCAACGTTATCAAACACATGGGCTATTCCTCGGCCTCATCAGACACGGCTCGCCCAGCCAGTCATGCGTCACCTCCTGGGTCTGCTGAACTAGCATCTTGCCAAGAACCATAAGAGACAGAATGCTAGAACAGCTTCCACCGTTACATTGACGTTGAGCTCCACCTTGCTTCCTAACCACTAAGAGCCACTATCGGAGATCCTCGTGACCCCCCTGTATTTCACGAAAGTGGTCAAAATGTTCATGTGGCCAGATCCCTGACACTAAGTAAGTGAAATTACGACCAGGTCCAAAGAAGAGCACTGGCGATCGTTCCATACGATGACCTAGGACATCTCGGTGTTAAACCCAGGAAAGTGAATTCCGCCTTCAGCGACAGACCAATTTGCACCTGAGATACAACTCTCAGACCAGGTAACATTTCACCACCAACCTCGAGCAGACGGTCTTACTAAGTCATACGGGCCGGAACCTGAAGACACTGTAGTTGCAGCAACCCTTTGGATCCAGAAGCGTGCGGCTTAGTGCTGGAAGCAATTCGCACTCGAAACCTCAATAACAAACACATGATTCAATGTGGTGGGAATATCGCTTGCCACGTGGATTCATCCCAGAAGTAGACACAGACAGTCTCACCGTGCGATAAAGGCCCCGTAATGATAGCAAAAAGGATGTGTGGAACCGGATGCAATACGGATCACTCGTTGATATGTGCTGATATGTGCGTCGCGCTAGGAAAACTACCACATCGTGGACCAGCAGGGAGCTCATTCAAGTTGGACGTACGGAAGCCAAAAGATGAGGGAACTGCATCAGTTCTGCGAAGCTCTAATGATGAGACCAACGGACGACCAAGTCCCAAACACAACTGAAAACTAGTGGGTCCGAATACAAACACATCCAGACTCGGAGCAAGGCAAAAATCAAGATCGACAGACGTGACGCTGGATTAAAAGGAATCCCACACCTGAGAAGTCACTGCAACTGAAAATCCAACTTAGAAGATACATCAACGAACTTCAGGGAATAGATGTTAGACAGAATCCCACACCTAAGCCACCGTAACCGACACAGTTGGGATCTGCACCGGTCAGCAAGCTCAACTCGTAAGCGATCAGTTTGACATCAACGCGAACTTCGACCACTCGATAATAGGGATCCAAGAGCCAGTCGTGCTTCAGTATCTGTCGGGTGCTGGCTGCCACTGGTGTGTCACGACTTTTGAAGTCAGGGCAATGATTACGACTTGGTGCACTTCCAGTGTACATTGCGTTCTGCTGACAACAGCCTATCAATCAGACTAAGCTGAGGTACTAGCCTTGCCTCACTACTGTGCACTGAAAAGACCTCGTGGGATTCAGGTCTCCCAAATGCTGAATCATCTACATAGTTGTGCAGATAGTAGTTTGTTCATATTAGAGGGCTTTCTTCAACCCACCTAATCAGATTTTGATTTCGACAACCTGAGTGGTTCTCAAAATAGGGTCCACCGGTCCCGGGTGTTAAAAGCTCCGTTGAAATCTGTGGACATTCTCGTGCCCTCTTTCATTTCTAGTACCTGTCACAATTTGCATGAGTTCATTATCGGACAGGAAACATACAGGGAAGCTGTGGCTGCTATCGAACGGTTCTATTTTGGACTCAAAAACAAGATCCCTGGGTGTCATTCGCCGACTGCCTATGCACTGGATCCGATCAAAAAAATAAAAACTTCGTTAAAGGACTACGACCTGGAGAATCACGGTCTCTACAACTGCCAAGATGGCGTATGAAGGGCTTTTGTCTTCAAACTATAATCTCGAACGTAACGCAAGCTTTTGTTTGAACAGAAAAAGTTAGACCGTAAGTCTGCATTTGATCAAGCACTTTTTCTGAAGTGACCGAAGGGCGCCACAGTTCTACACTAATCTTGATAAATCCTCATACGACTGCGTCAACTTTCTGAAATCTCTCATCCCTAAGCACTGTCCGCATAAAAGACACCACTAACAAATTTCTGTGGGTATGAAAGAGGTCCTCATTGCGTTCGGTTCGCGAAGCAGTGAATGGGAAACATCCAATTCATTCATTAATATCGCGGCCTCAGGTTGTCTGTCCTTTATAGAGGCTGGTCGATACTGCCCGGCTGGAGCCTCGCTCGCTTTTCCGGACCTACCGTAAGCCAATCATTACGAGACTCGGACGGCACTCTGCCGTTGGAATGTCGTATTACGGAGGCGTCTAGATCATTGTAGGACTGCTTTTAAGGGAACAGCTATGCAATAAACAGACACGCCAACATCGACTCGAGTTCAACGAACTCATCTAGTATGCAGCGGCTAAAAACGGTTTTCGGTACACGGTCTTTAAAAATATTCACCCTCAAGTTCCCAAAAATGCCACGAGTAAACCATACACAGCTTTCCGGGTCAGTGAGAGTTTATATGGATTCCGTCACACTATACATGAAATAACGAAAGGAGCGATATACACTCACTCGCATACCAATTTGGTTTTGACGAGAGACTCACCTGGAATCCAGCTGAATCTCTCGCTTGTGATGTTCTTAAGCGAGTGCATGTGCTGCGTCAGAGTGCCTCATGTTTCAGTTGGTACGATATTCAAGATATCGCGATACATCGTATGGACGTAATGTCGAAGAGTTTCCAACAACCTTATGAGTAGTGCATTACGTCCATACGAGAGGAACAGTGTTTTCAGAGGAGGCTAGCGATGAGCGATCATTAACTGATGTATGGCAGTTAAGCACCATTATTCTTTGATGTTGTAGTCAACGATAATGATCTTTATTGGTGGGAACATAAACTTTTGGAGTCAACCAGAACGGTGGACCACTTGATTGTTTCCCTCGAAGTCATTTAATGAGTCATCACTGGACCGCGGTCCTTTCTGCAATCATTCCAAACTCGTTAGTTGCTCTTGTTGAGAGAGGGCCCAAGTGTTTAGAGCGCGGATTTACTGACCAGAAAGTCCGTAATTCGAACCCGACCTCTGCTTCTCGACTTCCCCTGTCTAAGCTTGGGCAACCTGGCAGTATCCCAGCACTCGTGTTTCCTTCGAATGGCATAGCAGCTAGGCACCGGAAGAGTGCCACAGCTGAACTTTTTTTTTCTTGTTGAGAGTGGCAAAACACTGCTCTACCAAATTCGACTATCATCTATCTGTTGAGAAAAGGAAACTCATCGGCCGATGTATCAATCCATGCAGCTCTACCGAACAGCTATAACCCGAAACGCAAACTCTTTTTAATCAAGATGTTATATTCTCTGCGCGTAGAAAACTCACGATTCCCTGACGAAGATATGTCACAAGCTACAGTGTTCTTAAGCGTGTTCAAGAATTCGACCACAATATCACCACTCCACTAAACACAACTTAAAGCCACTACACCCTTCGAAAGACTTGCTGCTGGTTTCAAGACTTATGTGCATTCAACAAGTATTCTCTTAACTATTACCGATTATTACTCCAGATTTCGTCTTGCTTCAACCTTTCTGGGCGAAACACCAAACCATGATGAATCGATCTATTTTTCTCTATTTCCAGGATGCTAGTCTAGATTTGGGGACATCATAGTCTCTTCTGCGTATCGGCCGAATTGCGAAAGTACACTTACGATAAAAACATGCACACTAACAGGATGAGTGCAAAACCTACAAGTTTTGGCGTTCAAAAGAAACCTCACCGTCATTCCCGTCTTTTTCATTCTCATATTTGCACGCGTCTCTAATTGGTACAAACGTAGGATGGAGCGAGTCCAGTGCAGTGAGATTTCTTGGGTCCTCGGACAAGCTGCACCGTGTGTATCAAGCTACAGTGCGGGCTGCTTTGTTGTATGGCTGTGAGACTTGGCCTATTCGAGCAGCGGAACTGAGACGTCTTCAGGTGTTTGACAACCGTTGTGTAGCACTTGTAAACCACTCTTTTTCATGCTGTGTCATCTTCCTTTTACCTATCATTATCCGTCACATCGCTGTACAAAAGTTTGTTTTACTGAAATACAACCGCTACCGCCCGCTCATTGGCTCCAACGTGACTTTGAGACTTTTGCTGAGTGACCGCCGGTTGGCTATAATTGGCTGCTACTAACTCTGAATGTGAACAAACATTTTAGCTACAGACACTGGACTAATATATTCACACTCTCCGAATGTAGAACACGATGGTGAGAGCACCACGAGCGTATCCATTAATCTTCAAAGACGGATAATTCCTAATGACTCATTTGTCAAAGCCTATTGATGTGACATTGAGTAAACAAAAAGTGCCTGAAAAATGGAGCGCATCGACAACCATTCCTATCTTGATTTGAAACCTATCTTTGGCTCTCTGGACCGTCAGGCTTCAACGAGTTATCTGTGGACCAAAGATGTCCCCTGTAAATTCTTGAGCCTCCTTAAGGGGCTGTACACCAACTCCGGCGGACGTGTGAAGCATTACGGGAGGCTCTAATTTGAGTTCACTTTATCAAGTAGGAGGAAGCAAGGCAATCCGATTCCAACTTTGCTCTACAAACCCACCATTGATACCGTTATGGAAGACCCACTACAAGTCCCCAACGCCTGTAAGATCGAAGTAACCCCAGGTCATTCGTTCACGGATATCGAGTACGCAGAGGAGACAGCACGTTTTGGAGTTGACGCCGTCGTGATACAGGAAATAGTAGATCATCTAAATAATTCAGCCTCACGGTTTGACATGCGCTCTACAACTACAAAGTTCTGTAAGACTGGATGGGCTCGAACCCTGAACTCATGCTTGCAAATGAGCCGACCGAAGTAGCAGACATTTGTTTACCTGGGCAGCTGTGGCAGTCCGGCTGACACAGCCGATGATTCCCACTCGAACTGAAAAGATAAGAGCAGCATTCGTGAACCTGCACCACGTGTGACGTATAAATGACACCAAGATATCTGTCAGTGGTCGAGTTTACAAAGCTGTGGTGAGTTTCATACTGTTATATGGGTCACACACTGTTATATGAGTCAGAAAACTGGTTTCTGCACGCTGAGGACGTCAAAAGATTGTTTGACCGTCGATGTCCGTGGGGCAGTGCCTGAGTGTGGATGCCACACCGGATCAGTACTGGATGACCCCTCAGTTTTCGAAAGAATTAACCCTAGATAGGCCAACTGATAACAATCCATAAGCTGCGTTGGCTTGACCACGTTTCCCGTATGCCATTTGACCGACTTCCTGGAACAGCGCTTTCAGCACGTCAGGGGTGGAAACGTGCTCGAAGGTCAATGACTTGGAAACGGAGTATGGAAGTCATTAGTGACACATTCTGCTATACTGGTCGTTACCGTCTCGCTGGCTGAGGACATCGAAACATCGTCAGACATGTCTCGGTCGTACGTATGCGTCTAAGCTATTGACTCCAATGTATAGCTCTTCCTCCCGTAATCCCCAATGAAAAGTCTACCGACACCCCGGTATTGAAGCATCAATTACATAAGATACCGCTTCAAATTCATAGCTCCCTACGCTTGCCTCCTGCAAATTATTCACGAATGGAACTGTAGCAGCCATAACCAATATAAGACAAGTACGCGGTCTTTACCGTTGAATGTATATGCATCACCGATACCCAACAGCAAAACAAGTTTCTGACTAAAATCTGACTGTCGAAATGGGTTGAACTCGCGACCAGTTGCGATGTACTTGTGACCTGTCTGCAAAACGAACCGAAGCAGCAACCAATTCTCAAACCAACAGTCATTTAACAGACCGTACACGGACCATGGATACACTTCGAATGAACACAGCTGGGAAGCGAGTTAACCATGTGGGGAAAATAGCACACTACCCGATCAAACAAGAAGTCCTGACGGACAAAAAGAGATCCATTTCGAAGATCTATGGTGGCTGCGGAACGAAGCCAACAGTTCACAAGCTTCCACAGTGCCGTGTAATCGTGTTGCCAGTCACTGCGGACGGAATGAATACAGGTTCCTTCTGCGATGGTGAGGGGAAAGGAGTGTGTGAGAAATATTTTGGTGCATTATTCAAACGCGTTTCAGATTCGCGCCGATGTGGACCACGCTGTATCGTGATTTGGGTTGTTCCACGCACAAGTGAACGGAAAACCCAGAGAGCTACAACATTCGTCGGCCTACCAGACGGCAACACATATGGAGTTACTTTTGTGGTTCTAAATTCAGCGTACACCCGCTTGGGGTACTCGAAGTTTTATTTGAGAAGCTAAAGGCGTATGCGCTGTCAGCGCGGACTGCTGAGGTAAAATAATAGCACACCAGCAAGCAATTTTGTGAATACAAACCAATAACCTACCACTATGTACTCACCATTTAGTACTGGGGTTTTTCTCTTTGGTGACGCTTTTCTTTTTGTTTTTCTTCTTGCTTTGCAACGCAGCAACTGGGCAAGAAAAATTCGGTGTTAGACAACGGTACGTAGGTTATTATAAATCCACTGTGTTGAAAATTAAACATTAAGCAATCACCTTTCCGAGGCACCTTGCTCATGCTACGAAGCCCGTGATAAATTCAACGGAAAAATCCAGCTCAAGACCAGTCCGCCCAAAGTCGCTACCGACCATTAAAACAAATTGCTCAATCCAGATCAGCTGAGGTTAAACAAGTTTAGCAAACTCGGTACTCAGTTCACGCACGGATAGAAACTTGTTAACCCAGCCTACGAACGTGCTTCTCCTCTCAAAGCGCCTGAAAACACTTTATGATGCTTGTACCCGGGCAGGACCAAGGCTGATTAGGTTTCATCTGGGGTGCGATCGGATTTTGTTACGGGTTTGTAAATGTTTCCCCCACTTTATCTCGGTTTTCAAATTGTCTCAATTTTGTATGTCCATGGGTTCCTAAAACATCAGCCTGTGTGAACTCATTCCCATGCCATCCATTTGGCTATCCCAGTTACTCTTGAGGACTGATTCTATCAGGGGCGGTCGACCCGCAGCCAGCTTTCTTTGGCACAATGACTACTCCTGCCGGCATCCACAATGAGCACCCAAACCACACACAATCGCCATCCGGTCCCACGCACTTTGCATTTTCGGTGCAGCAAGGTATGTCACACACCAACTCTATTCACAAAAAGATGCGGTCTCGAGGTCTATTAAATATGGCCCAGCTAAATCCTCGGAGGTTCTATGCTTCTCGGGTGCTGTTGGTGTTTTCCCAGCAGAGGTACGCCGAAAGCTGCTGTCACTTATCCACAAATCCTCTCATCACATCTCTCCTCCAACATCCCAAGTTAGACTGTGGCTAGCAGATAAAACATTTACTCCTCAAAGCACATATGGCAGGGCTTCATTGCACATCCTGCACACTGTCCATAATTGACTTTTGTGTATATCTGCCTGCCTCGTGAGGGGCATATCAGGTCTAATTCGCGGTCTTTCAGAATTGTAGCCAAATTCGACTCTGAAACAACGGCAACAAATCCTCCTACATCGATTCCACACATCAGCCCCCATTTAAGAACCAAATAATCCTCCTCGCTATTCCCGAGATTTTCGCCCCTCAGACATCCACTGGGTGTCTCGCTCGTTGCGGTCGCAGATTGAAAACATATGCTTCAAATCCACCGTGCTGCTCACGTCCACTGGAAAGAAAGCCCTACGGCCACGAAGCCTTTCTGTTGAAGGATATCAAAACAAGTGCGCTCTTCTCAGGGCAACCGTCATCCAGGGGGCGACTGACAAATGTTTTTATCGTACCCGTGTCTCATCATCCACATCTAGTTACTCCAGCTTCTTCGAATAGCCCATTGATGCTCACGCCGTCGTGATCAGCACAGAACTGACGCAACGGCGAGACATTTAGGGCAAAAATTTTTAACCTAATAGCTCGCCAATTGAATTCGGTGTCTCATGGCATTTTTGTCCACGTTCCAAGATTATTTCATTTGGTTTATTCAACCATTTTTTAACCAAACAAGGTGTAAAGTTAACATTCAGCAGACGCGATTTCTTATATGAAAACAGCGTCTGGGCTTTCACACTGTAATACAAGTAAAAGTCCAGAGTGCTGTTAGGATGCGGTTGCCCATTCCCACTCTATTGGAGAGCACCTACACCGACCGTGGAATGAAAAAAGCTGCCTGAGTATATTCCAAAGTTTTATGAAGCACAAGATATCATATGTGACTGTGGGATTGCGGAGTGTTTGCTCACTCTCGTGGTAGCACCTTTTCGCCCAATGTGCTGCCACGAAATAGCCAAACTGCGAGTCAGCGGAGGAGGAAAATGGCATATTCTGCGCTCACGGATTTTTGCCCCGTTTGCTGGCTCACGCAAGCTCTAGTAGATAATTTATAAACGACATCTCCCTCTCTCCGAGAAGTACGGGCGGACAATAACAGGTATTGGGTGGCAGCAACTTTGGCGGAGATTTTGAAGAGCAGCCTTGCATTAAATTCTTTTGGAAGCGGTGGCACAAGCTCATGGGATACCTCTCCCCTGCCCGAAGATTTTGTTGAAATGAGCGCAGTCTGATTATGGCTTGAGTTGACTTCCTGTCTTCCGCTCAAGCGACTGAAGAATTAATGTGCCTTCATCCAGGTATTTACACCTGTGGGCCAGTGAAGAGCGTGTGAAACGTTTCATGCTCAAACCTTCTGTCTAGATGAATGTCCAAGAGAAGATGAAGTTAATGGCACTCAAAAGACAGTTCCGAATACGGCCGTGGATTTGGTTGATGACTTCCAACCAGTTTTCTTTTTTGGCAACTGTGGCTTACTGGGCATGATTTTGTTGCTGTGATCTTGTAAGGTTCATGGGATGAAACATCACCCCTCGACACACAACCGTGGCCGGAAGACTGAAGGGAAGAAGTCAGCCGGGTGGTTAGTTGTCTTTGCGGTAATGTGGCACATTTAGGTTCACAGGTGTCCGCGATTCTCGGAGTGCCTGCCAGAGGCGAGCGAAACATGGGCGGAATCTCAGATGATGGTCACGTGCTCATGTCATGCCGCTCGATATCTAATTCATTGTCCATTCCAATGATTGTGCTGGATATGCACAACGGCTACGTTGCAGCGAAGTCCATCTTACTTATGATTTGTTTTCCAGACTCCGGCATTCATGAATCGAAGAGTGAAAAAGGAACCTCATACATACTTGGGGGAATGTCCTTTATGGAAGTAGTTGAGGTTCTTATGTCGGCGTAGTGCGGACTGAAAATTACGCTATCGCGTGCGTCTGAAGATTCAGAGGAGTTTGTCCGCATACAGTTTTTTTGGCAAATAAACTATTCTGTCATGGGTGTATTTGTTAAGCATCCTCTGGCCATCCCCGGGTTGTTGCCAATCTTACACTTTTATGTGTCAGACATCGATGATACCCCTACTCTGATAGTATATAACAAAACATTGGAGCTCATGAAAGCTACAACTTAGCCCAGGGTTAATTGGGACTTGTTGCTGGATATTGTACGCATTCGTTATACAGCTTTACAGACTGAAAATCGTGTGGAATAATTAGACACCTCTGCATTTTGCACAGGGGACAAATAATCTCTTAGCTTCCTAGTGAACAAACCAGGTTAGCTTAGGTATACTGGACACTTAAATATGGTCAAAACAATATTTTCTTCCAGTCTCTAGCAAAAAGCACAGGGTAAGCTATATACAGGAAGCCGTTTCGATGAGTGCGAAAACCAAAGTCGACTTCGCAGTTTCCCAAGGTACTCTAGTCTATGTGCTAGAACGCGGTATAAACAGTAAGTTCAACTCATTAGTAGTACATATACTTGCCCATTGTTCGAGGCGCCATGCCATACTGGACCAGGTTGTGAGCTCATGCATTAAAATTTAGATGCTTCCTGTTTGCACGCTAGCAAGCTTGCATAGCCCGCCTGACGTGTGACGTTTAAACTCCGACATGCTGAAGAATATGCGCTGCTGATGAGGTCCAAGAGGGTCGAAACCCGAAGCCGTTGAATTCCTCCTTGGCAAAGACACCTCAGGATGATTGCCACGGAACAGTGGAATGACTGTCTAAACGAGAATGATGTTGGCTTGCCCCCTACAAACCCAGTAACTACCAACAACCTAAAGCGACAATTTCTCCTGGTATCTTGTGCATACCGTGGACAAATGCTCAGGCTATGCTTTCAATGTGAGCGTCCCAGGATGTCACCGCGAATGCAGAATACAAGCGGCTAGTTATTGAAACGTACAAACATTCAAAATTCTTGCCCAGTTTTTGCTGGGTCCCGGTTAATGAGGTCAAAGCAGCTGCTACGTACACCTCTTTAGCCTCATCGCATTGGTGTTATACGTCACAACATAACCATTCTCATCGTCAAGTGGCTCGTTTTTCCGATCGAGTCCCCAAGATTTTTGGTAGTTCGAGGAAATTTAGAAAGTTTCAGTTAGGTTCATCTGCCCGGAGCTTTCTTTTAACGACGGTCCATGAGTCCCCCCAAAGCGACAACAGTCTACACGCGGCTCAAGAAGAGAATAATTCGCAATGGGCAAAACATCAAACTGATCAGTTGCCACTGGAGAACGCAGAAGTCGGAACATGACATTATGGCATGGATTCAGTGAGTAAGTATGGCCGGCACTTGTTCTTCGTGTGATTAAGCCACACTGCTGATGAAACGCTTCTGGCAAAACGATTAGGCATAAGTTATTAGCCTTCTGAACTTTTGCGAGATACGCAAATCTGATGATTACTAATTGGGCAAAAACGACTACACAATGCTTTTTAGATATTGGGCTTGCATCACCTTTGCACTTCCTACTGCGCGAATTTGATAGTACGAATTGATGCCGATCGCACAGCTCGATTATTTCAGTAAGTTTCAGGTTGCATTGAGTCCATACCTGAAAGGGAACCGTCTCTCTCCTCTTTTTTCAGCGGATTAAAACTTCGTGATTTATTTCTTGCTGCGTTACTAGCACTTTTGTCGGGCTTATTACTGAACCACAAATTTGTCCTGGTAACCAGTTACCCAGAACTTTCTACATGCAGCACCGTGACATTCACAAATGTATTGCAAGATCTGTCAAAATTTTGCCAGCAGAAGGACCCAAGGTCCCGCTTTAGAGTCGTTTTTATTTAGGATTGATGGTTGCAAATCCTGGCATGTGCTTCCAACGTTACCGCAATCCGAATGAAATAACACAAACACATGATAAAGCTCCTGAAATGGGTCACAAAAAGAAGCATATGGAACATGCAAAGTTTTGTAAAATCGGGGGCTGCGTCCACCTCAAGGC